CTGCCTGGCCCTTGAACAGATAGCTCATCCAGTTTAGAGCCTTGCTGTTCAGAAGTGAAGCCAGTTGCTCAATTCCAGATTCCTCTATTCAGGTCACTAAAAGCAGCTTTTCCCTGCGTCAGATGGTTGCTTTGACTGTAATGGAAAGTAAAGTCTTGACGCACTCCTCGAGTCCAGATTGTACACTACTCCTAACTAGCCCTGTGTCTATGGTGGGTGAGGACATTTTACTTCTGAGTCCGCCCCTCTCCCCCACAGCCAACCCTCACACTGGCCTTCTTGATAAGATTAATGAATGTATTGTGTTTATTTATTTTGAAGACAGGATCTCATATAGCTCAGGGTGACCTTGAACTTACAATGAAGCCAAGGCTGGCCCTGATTTCCTGATCAAGTGCTGAAGTTACAGGAACACAATTTCATATTGTGTTTAGAATGTCTAAGACAATGTTTGACCCAGTGAATAATGAGAGATCTTAACTTGGGCCATGGGGCTAACTGGCTGGATTTATTTCCCACTCTGCCCCAACCACTTTGTTCTTCTTCAAAACAACAGACTTTCTTTTTTAAAAACATTTTTTGAGAATTTTTTTTATAAGAGTACTGTATTGCATCGTTTCTACCCCACCCTCTTCCCCTTGCAACTAAGGCTTTACTTATTGGAACAGTTTTATGCTCATAGCACAACTGAATGGAAGGTACAGAAACATGAGGTGCCCCTCATACGCACAGCCTCACCTACAACCAATGTCCATGAGCATGCCTGTGCTGACACATCGGTAGGAGTCACTATTGGGAATGTCCAGCGTGTGTGCTGTGTAAGTATAGTGTTTATCTACCACTCTTCCTCTTAATTTTTTAAAGTGAAGCTGTCAGAAAAGTGTGCGGTTCACCTTGGAGCTCACACTATATTTCTGTCCTACAATGCTGGTGTAATCACGGTTCACTTAAAATGATTGATGATTAGAGATCAATATGGTGCTTTTAGAAAGACTTAATTACCAACTATTGGTTGTTCTGAAGCAAAGAACCATCTGTAACATTTTTTTTCAAGTCCTATTTTTAATGATGGTCCTTAAACGCGTTAACCTTCCTTGTAGCCCACCACCCACCAGAGATAGTGGAAAAGAAAGGATACGGGGGAAATGGAACTGTTTAGAAAGGTTCTTTGGAGCAACTCCCATCTGTGTTTTCTGGAAATCGGCAGTTCAGTTCACAGGTTAGCAGGCAGCAGCAGCTTGATCCACTCTCAAACACTTCACAGATACACCAGCAGTCCAGTTCAGTAGAGTTTTGGGTTAGCAACAGCAGTGACAGGACCTAGCAGAAACAGCCAGGCCTCAGCCTCAGCTCAAGTCAGCAGGAGGGACCAGTGGGAACACCAGAAGTTCTCAGCTGGGAGCCCCACAAGCATCACACAGCTAGTTGTACCAGCAAGCCAAGCTCTGTCTCTGTCACTCTGAGTCCTATTTCTACCCTCCACACATCACGTGTCCTCCACGTGCCTTGCCTCAGCACATGCATCTAATCAGCCCCAGTCCTGGGACGCTGCAACAAACTGCAGCACACCAGCAGAAGTTTTTAGTGCATTTCTCTCTATGGTGTCCTGACAAATGCAGCTCAAATAGGAAATGTAAGGTGGATCAATACATGCATGTTGTTAGCAAAGAATCCTTTATCACGTCTCCTTTCACGTGTTTGTTTTAGATACGTCGTCTCTCTGTGTCTGCTTCAGTGAAACGTTCCTTCACAAGTTGGCCTTAGCCTTTCACACCTGTGTCCACTTTAACGAAATGTTCCTTCATGTGTTTGCCCCAGCAAAATACTAGCCAACCTTTCCAAAGAACCTGAAAATATCCACTTCAGACATCTCTCTGTATTTTAAAGAAAACTCAGTAAGTGCTTTCTCTCTCCCTCTCCCTCTCTCTCCCTTTCCCTCTCTCTCCCTTCCCTATCTTGTGCTTAACATTGAACCAGGGACCTCACATGGTTCCCTGAGTGGTAAGCAGGTGCTGTACCACTGAGCTATGTCCGCAGCCTCCTCCACAAATCTTTTGGGTAATGGTTTTCTGGTGTACTTTCCTATGATTCCATCCCTCCTTTTTATTTCCTTTTGAGTTAGGGTTTCCCTATGTAGCTCAGGCTGGCATCAAACTTGAAATTCCATCTTAGCTTCCAAAGTGCCCCACCTCCTTATACGTTTTAAGTATCAAAGTTCCCTTTGTGTCTTCACATGTCTCTATACCCCTTCTCATAATATGTATGATTTCCCTTTTTAATATTCTTTTATATATTTATATATAAAATATATTCCTATTTTCTTTATATTTTATAATTATTCATATATATTATATATAAACAGCATTTGTTATTTTTTTATAACGGCTATTTAATGTCCTTGTTTGACTCTGTCGTCTCAATATCCATTTGTATCAGTTTTTCCAGTTATGAGTATTGTTTCCCCTTTTTTTAATATGCTGAATAACTTTTGATTATATGACATACACATGAATTTTGTATTTAGAGTGCTAATTTTGTGTGTGTGTGTGTACTATAAGCACCGTTGCTCTGTTTTTTCTGGTATGCAGTTGTTACATGAGGATTTCCTGAGATCACACATCTGTTTCAGCAAATGTCACCACATTTTTCTTTTATATGGTTACTAATACCAGCATCTGGGTAATCCTGGCACAGAATTCTAGTAACTGCTTTTAATCTTGATAATTGATTATATTTTCTAATCTCTTCATGACGAATACATTTTTACTTTACAGTAGACCTAGGACAAGCTCCATAACAGCCTAGTCCCCACCCCTAGACGTGGCTTGTCACTGCAGCAGGAACACTGCAAACTGTAGAACTAGAACCAAATGGGGAGCCCAAAACCTATATATAAAGTATAATTTGTGAATTTAATATTCTGCACATTGGCAATGATAATATTACTTGAAGCCAGATCAATAAAAATGATTCAGTCCCAAGAACGGGATAGAGAGAGGATGAGCAGGAAGGAAGTGGGTTCAGTGCCTGGTGTGTGCAGTCGTCTGATGTGTGCAGTCTGATGTGTACATAGCTGGGTTCCGAGACGGAGAAGAGAATCAGAGGGCAGAAAATGATGAAGAGACCAGTACCTGACAACTTTCTAAATGAATGGAAAGGACCCAGAAAGCCGAGTCTAAGAAGGGAAAGTTCAAAGAAATTTCACTGTAGATATCACCGTCGAACTGATGGATGAGGAGGATAAAATGACTTAAACGAAGACAGGAATCACCCAGAGGAAAGCTGATATTTCTCCAGAAACAACGGAGGCCACTCAGCCTCCCCCATTGCCGTCACCCTACTCCATCATTCTGCTTTGCCTTGCCTGTTGAAGTAGCTTCCTAACTGACCTGTCTCTCACCCATTAGCCCCTACAGTCTTTTCAATAAAGCAATTATAGAGGCCCTCTTAAGCAGCTCGGTTTGTTATGCTGTCAAACTTTCTAAAGGCTTCCCATCCCACTGAGGAAACAAGGACCAAATTTGTTATTGAATCTGAGCGTCGCCTCTGTATACTCTCTGGCTACCTCATTTCTCACTGTCCCTTGGATGCAGTCACACACTCCAAACACATCTTGCTCTTTGCCTTTGCTTAATCCTTCGTGCAACTCTAGCTTGGGTTCTTTGCTCAATTTTCTCTCCCCTTTT